TCTGGCAACACTTTTAGGAAATTTGAAACATGAAACAGATTCTTGGATAATGAGTTCTAGGAAATATCCATTTGGGCATTGGTGACTTGAATATTCCATCACATATTTATATACAGTTACCAAGGAAACTCTACACTATTTAACTAATATATTACACAAAACTAGATCAGGGTTAGAATTTAACACTAGCCTGCTAGCCCGGAACTTACCGTATTCGACATAATAAGCGCCCCACTCTAATAAGCGCCCACGGCGATATTTGTTAATATATTGGCTAGTGAACAATCCCAATTAGCACCCCTTCCAATTGATCAATGTACATAAGACTTATTTATTCATGTATAATACGCACTTATGTGTTATATGCACCCTTAATTATGGGCAATTAAATTCTGGAAAAATATATCTGTCGTATATAAACATTTCAGGCTGTCAGCATAAACCACGAAATTTATCTTTCAACTCTGTTTTTTTCCCCACCAAAATACTATTCTAATAAGAGCCCCCTATTTCTAATTTTGAGAGCGCCCTGGGCGCTTATTACGTCGAATACGGTATATATGTTCAGTGTTCCCATCTCCCCATTGTTTTAACATTACAAGGGCATTTTACCTTTATCCAGGCTAATAAAGCTTTGTGTTTAGTTTTAACTCTGTAACATACTAAATGTTCTACTGCAATATATTACAACTCTAGTGTGGGCAACCATTGCAATAAATTGCAATTGTGAAAATAGCCGAAAAAGTGGCCCCTAATCTTAATGCTATAACAGGGATCAGAGCAGCTGCACTATTGTCGATGGCATATTGTGTGTGTGTGTGTGTGTGTGGCTGCTTGTACTAGTCCGGACTGATGGCGATTTATAGTGCAAAAACGCTTACTTGGGGCCTGGTAAAAAGAGCATTAATATGGTACAGTGAGTGAGTGAGTGAGTGAGTGAGGTTTACACCGCTTTTAGCAATATTCCAGCAATTTCATGGCGGAGGACACCAGAAATGGGCTTCACACACTGTACCCATGTACACACACACACACACACACACACACACACACACACACAGACACATGTGCATGCACGTTGTATAAGTGCAATAATCTTGGATGCAGCGTTAAACCCCATTTCACATCACCTCACCTCACAAGGGTGTTCCGTACAATAAAATTTCTTGATTCTTGATATCCACCTTGGAGATGAAGCTAACACATCTCATCAGTGCTTACCACATTCACAGCTGGTTGGGACGTACATTACATAAGAATTACCTTCACTTAATGACAGCCGGGACTAATTAGGCTGGCAACTGACAACCTTGTGGCTGGTTGTGTGTTTATCTCAAGTTAGAGATCCTGTTGCACTCAGAGGTGGGCCTAAAGGTCAGGAGAGGTGGATATTATTTCCCAGAAACGGAAACTCCGGGGTCTATTATATCATCATCGTTGGCCTTTGGGAAGCGATCGAGTAATTGGACAGGAAAGAAGAGATTGTGTGGTGGGCAATTATCGCGATGGTATTTCTATATATCAGCTGGTCAGTGGTCATTGTTAAATGAATCCGCTGACTTAATTTATTTGTTATTTTATGCCACAGTCAGCAGTTTTCCAACTGTAATGTAGCCTGTGTAGTTAAACAAACCAGTGATTGATGTCATGAGCAGACCAGTGAGTGATGTCATGAGCAGACCAGTGAGTGATGTCATGAGCAGACCAGTGATTGATGTCATGAGCAGATTAGTGATTGATGTCATGACATACCAGTGATTGATGTCATGAGCAGACCAGTGATTGATGTCATGATATACCAGTGATTGATGTCATAAGCAGACCAGTGAGTGATGTCATGAGCAGACCAGTGATTGATGTCATGAGCAGATTAGTGATTGATGTCATTACATACCAGTGATTGATGTCATGAGCAGACCAGTGATTGATGACATGAGTAGACCAGTGATTGATGACATGAGCAGACCTGTGATTGATGACACGAGCAGACCAGTGATTGATGTCATGAGCAGACCAGTGATTGATGCCATGGGCAGACCAGTGATTGATGTCATGAGCAGACCAGTGATTGATGACATGAGCAGATCAGTGATTGATGTCATGACCAGACCAGTGATTGATGCCATGAGTAGACCAGTGATTGGTGACATGAGCAGACCAGTGATTGATGACATGAGCAGACCAGTGATTGATGACATGAGTAGACCAGTGATTGGTGACATGAGTAGACCAGTGATTGGTGACATGAGCAGACCAGTGATTGATGACACGAGCAGACCAGTGATTGATGCCATGAGTAGACCAGTGATTGGTGACATGAGCAGACCAGTGATTGATGTCATGAGCAGACCAGTGATTGATGACATGAGCAGATCAGTGATTGATGTCATGACCAGACCAGTGATTGATGCCATGGGCAGACCAGTGATTGGTGACATGAGCAGACCAGTGATTGATGACATGAGCAGACCAGTGATTAATGTCATGAGCAGACCAGTGATTAATGTCATGAGCAGACCAGTGATTGGTGTCATGAGCTGACCAGTGATTGATGTCATGAGCAGACCAGTGATTGATGTCATGAGCAGACCAGTGATTGATGTTTGTTTATTATTTAATGCCTCACTATGACAGCAATATGACAATGGCATGTAAAAAATCAAGTCTGGACCAGACGATCCAGTGATTGATGATGTGTGCAATGATCTCTCCAAGGGAGGAAGAAAGGCATGCAATCTACCAAGCATGACCCTCTGACCAATTTTAGTCATCTCATAGGAACATCAGAGCCTGTTGAGACTAATTCTGACAAGGAGTTCCCATAGTTAGTTGCTTTCATGAGAGGCAGTTTTGTTTTTTGGTCCTAGATTTACCAGGATCTGCAGATTTGAAGAACGAGTAATTAACCGATTTAAACCGATTATAAAATTTTACGGTTAAAGCATGTGGATTTTATTTGAAAGAACTTTAATTTCATTTCGAAGACAGAACTTATATAATAATGGACTAATTTTGGACACTACAATCGGCAGTTGCAGGAAAAAGGCATTCTGTCTTGCACCATGACTGGAATTCATGTTTTTTCAGTTAAATATTTACTGAAAGCCAAATCAAGTCTAGATCAAACACACAGCAGAGGAGGAAAGGTTCTTTAATAAAGAGTGAGTGGGATGGGCTCAACGCCACTTTTAACATTATTACAGTTATATCACAACGCGTCAGCTTAATGTGGGAGGAAAGCCCAAAGTGATGCAGGTCTCAGACGTTTAACACTTCGGTGAAGCCCACGAGCACAGGTATGGTGCTGACAAACCTAGAAACATAATCGGGGCAAACCGGGATTCAAACCCACAATCATAGGTTTCTGGCGTGCCCAAGGGACGCAACTCTGCATAGCAAATCGTGGTGCCTTAGCGGACTGGGCCACCATAATACAATTATGTTAAGGAACTGTTTTCATAGACTAAGTGTTAGTCTGTGACTGGGGAAGAGCATTCATTATGTGAAAGATAAAACGTGATTTGTTGCCCCCACCTGAAGCTGAAGGTTTTCTCCAGTCTGATAACTACCGTATTCGACGTAATAAGTGCCCCACTCTAATAAGCGCCCAAGGCGATATTTGCTTATATATTGGCTAGTGAACAATCCCAATTAGCACACCTTCTAATTGATCAATGTACACAAGATTATTTATTCGCGTATGATATGCACTCGTGTGTTATAAGCACCCTTAATTATGGGCAATTAAATTCTGGAACAATATATCTCTCGTATTTAAACATTTCAGGCTGTCAGCATAAACCGCGAAATTTATCTTTCAACCAAAATACTATTCTAATAAGGGCCCACAATTTCTAATTTTGAGAGCGCCCTGGGCGCTTATTACGTCGAATACAGTAGTTCCTCTCCATCAACACGTGTACTGTGTGTACACCAATATAGTATCAGGAAGTGCCCATCACCCAGTGTTAGGTGATGCTGTCTCCACGGCGAGGTTCGGCTGCAGGAGGGATGAGTCACAGGGATGACAGATTGAGGGGGGGGGGGGGGGGTTAATTAGATGCACCTACCAACCCAACTTGTGTTTACCAGAGTTACACCATCAATGCACCAGAATTGTATAATCATTGCACAAGGATTGTACCACCAACATTTTACTAACTTAGCATGTCTGAATGTTAGATGAATTTAGTTCGACAATAATAGATCTCCAGCATCAGTGCTTGTGTATTAACTTTTATAAATTTATGGGACCAGGGTGCAACTTGGCTTTCATGTCTACTTGCACCAGATGCAAGGTAAACCTAGAACCTAAGTTCCTTAAAGTTAGGTCTTCAGCAACCCATGCTTGCCGTAAAAGGCGACTATCCTTGTAGTAAGAGGCAACTGACGGAATTGGGTGGTCAGGCTCGCTGACTTGGTTCATGCATGTCATTGTATCCCAATTGCATGGACTGATGCTCATGATATCCATCACTGGATTGTCTGGTCCAGACTCGATTATTTACAAACCGCCGTCATATAGCTGGAACAGGTTACAGATATACTGACTACTTTGTGTTGCAGTCAGGAAAATTCCAGCTTAAAAATGGCAGCCTGTTCATAAACGATACTTGTTCTTACCCTTCCTGGCACTTGGCAATATTTTGTTTGTTTGTTTGTTGTTTAACGCCTCACTCAGCAATATTCCAGCTACATTGTATATGACGATGGTCAGTAAATAATCTAGTCTGGACCAGACAGTCCAGTGATTGATATCATGAGCATTGATCCACCCATTTGGGTTGACGTGCATCAACCAAGTCAGCGAGCCTGACGACCCGATCCCGTTAGTCGCCTTTTACGACAAGCATAGTAACCTTTTACAGCAACCATGGGTTGCTGAAGACCTATTCTACCCCGGATCTACACAGGTTGCCCTGCTGGGGACCAAGCCAATCCAGAACCCCTACAGGGACGTCAGTCTTCAGAAGTAAGCAGTTCTGTTTGTGTTGTTTCAGGTCCTGTGCTCTGCCCTGAGTGTTGCCCTGCTGTTCTGGAGGAGGCTGACCTGCTTGGTAAGTTGCTGCTGCAATAGACACAGAGGCTCAATGTAGAAACTCTTCCTTGTGAGCCATACAGGGATTTGTCTTGGATTCCAAACTGAGTGCCCTTAGCAAGGAAAAATTTGTTCAAAATTAGAGTTTTGTACTATTCATATTTTTGTACATTCTGAGGATTAATTCAAATTGGGAATTTTTGGTGTCATTTGCTGCAGAGTTGGGGATGAATATTGGCCTCTGAGAAGGTCTGGATGAATCCCTGTATTACATACGATATACTTCTCGGAAACCATGACATGTCAGATGGTAAATGTGAAGACCTGTGTATCCCACAAACCTTCTCCAAATTAAGGAATTAAGATCTTGACCCAAAACTATATAAAAAAATAAAATATAAGAGAGCAGTACTTATGCTAGTCAATCTGGATAACAGTTATGATAGTTCCTATACAATACTTCACAAGCCTCAGGGGGCGGTCGGGTAGCCTAGTGGTTAAAGCATTCGCTCATCACGCCGAAGACCCGGGTTCGATTCCCGACATGGGTACAATTTGTGAAGCCCATTTCTGGTGCCCCCCGCCGTGATATTGCTGGAATATTGCTAAAAGCGGCGTAAAACCCCACTCACTCACAAGCCTCAGAATGCATGGACAGCGTGAGTGTCGATTCTCTCAAATTAATTCCTCCAGTCTAGTTTACAGATTTCTATTCAAGAAATACTTGAAGACAGGAGGGAAAAAGTCTAAAAATAGAAAACACTTTTAAAGATAAAAATATCAATAAAAATATTTATCATAGCAGTACAGCTATTACTGTTGAAACACCTACCCTTTGGGATTTCATTTTTCGAGGGGAAAAACTCTGTCCCTTCACCTCTTGTGAAATCTTTCCTGTTTGTGTTGCAAATTATATTTTTTAAAATGGCTTAAAAGTAACAGGCAAGCCCACAAAACAAGTAACTTATATCACCAAAATGTGCAGCACACAAATATGTGATTTATAATATTTATTATTCAAACGAAGCCAAAGTATTTATCCATGTTGCCTGAAGTGCTGTACAAGCATTCACGTTGAACCATACAGCCTACATCCCATCCAAAGTGCACTTCACCCTCGTCAAATTTCAATTTCTGAAGCAAAGTATGTTTCTTTAATCTTTTAAAGATCCCCATTTTACTGTAATGTTTGCTTCATGTTTCTGTAAACCCGAGCCGGCCAATCTGACTGAATCAAGGTCACAGGGGTAGTCACCCAGAGGAGTTTTTGTCAAGGGGTGGTGCTCTAGAGTTAACCCACAGGCCTTGAACACCTCTATTGTGAGGGCTCCATTCAGTGAACAGTGAATCTCGTTGAGGGTGCTGATGGGTGGGTGTTGCCAGGGCTACAGTCAAACTTTACCCAATTGGACAGTTTGCAGCTATCTCTTGAGACCTACAACGGGTACCCAGGTAGGGTCGGGTAATAGCGGGGTGGGTACCCGGGTAGTAAATTTTGACTCGTCCCAGCCCTAACTCCTATGCTTAATTTTCGAAAGCCGCTCCAGATAAGCTTTTGGTGTTCCCACATGCATTTGATCTGCTTGATCTGAGTTTCATCGTAAAAGTTTTGAGTAAGACTGCTTAGCATAGAGTAGGAGTTTACTATTCATATTAAAAGTTGAAAGTGACAAGCAACCAGATATAGACTATTATGGCTCCATCAGATGTTTGCACTGCCTCGTTAGCAGTGACTTGGAGATTGTGGTTGGTCAAAGCATTTTAGTGAGTCAATATTTCTGGGAAAAGAAGGAAAGAATAAAAGTTATATTCCATTGTTTATTTACTAAATATTTTGAAAACTTATTCGTGTTAACTTTTCTTCAAATTATGAGCACCTCCAAACATTTGACCGTACTTTTTTTTATTTTATGATTTACGGTGAAACAATCAGCTTGGGTAGGTTACATGAAAATATATTAATGCTAGTAAAAAATACAGATTAATTTGTAGGAAATTTACTATTGTTTACTGTGTTAGAGGTGACCAGAGAATATGTGCAATATTAGAATATTAAGTTCTTAAATATTATTTAGTTAATGGTTACATTCATTTTGAACCTGTGAAGATCCGGAGTAAAAGGCGACTATGCTTGTAGTAAGAGGCGACTAACGGGATCGGATGGTCAGACTCGCTGACTTGGTTGATGCATGTCATCGTATACCAATTTCGTGGATCGATGCTCATGATGTCTATCACTGGATTGTCTGGTCCAGACTCGATTTTTTACAAACCGCCTTCATATAGCTGGAATATTGCTGAGTGCGGCATTAAACAAACAACCAAGCAACCAACTTTCATTTTGTATGATTTTCTCTGTTGTATCTTTAAAATTTTCTAATCCATACGAAATGATTAAGTGGTTGGGCAAATATTAATAAACGGGAACTGTTGAATTGACGAGATTTGAATAAAGTCTACCAGTTGTCCTTTGCAGCATAGTTAGAATATTGTCACCAATGACAACCCCATCCCACCTTCCCAAAGCAAGACAGTTAACTGACCTTTAAATGTCCAGTTTCCACCCTTGCCGAACTAGGCTGGAATTAATGGGTTCGATCGTAGCGCCACCAGTGGCTATTACCAGTTATGTCCCCCCTAAGCCTCTCCTATGGACCAATGAGATTCCACCTCTCGTATCACTTGCGTTTGCTTCACCCAAAATGGCGCCGCCCAATCAGGACGATCTGATTGATAATCAAGATCTATATTGTGATAAAACGGGTCTTACATCGGGAAAAAAGTCAAATCATGTGAACTCCTTGATTAAAAACATGAAAAGATTTGGAAGATATCTGCTGACAACGAGTTGGCAGTGCACATGCTTTGCAAATCCTGCAATCGACCGAAATCTGCACGACAGTTTACGAACCGGATTTGGATTTCAGTGCGCAATTTTGATTGGACTATGCATAGACTCGTTAGTCCAGCCAAAATGTAACTCCATAATACCAGCCTAGTTCGGCAAGGGTGGAAACTGGACTTTTATAGTCAGTTAACTCTCTTGCCTCGGGAAGATGTAAAAGACTTGCTGTTTTCCGTTAGAAGATGTGACACCCCATCCTGACCCTCTTATGCACTCCATACAGGGAGGTGAATGTGATAGGAGGAATTTATGCAAATTTTCAGCAGGTGCTACTGTTGTGTTGATGGAGCTGCTGTGATAAAGGCGACCTCTACGTCGGAACAGGTAGTTGGGGCAGACCTCGAGATTAACGAGGTTTGCGGTGACAGTTTTATACCCCGCTGTTAAGAAATCAACCCTCTGATGATGGCTGCATTGAAATGCTGGCGGCCTCTCCCATTGAAACTTTCACTGGGATGGAATAGTGTTTGAGAAACAATAATGTCCCCATTGAACCGAGATGAATGGAAGCTGTACAAATTGAATTGTAATTACCACTGTTTGGACTGCGATTTCAGATGTGGATTGAGCCGGTTCAGATTTTTAGTCCACCTGTAGTGAACGAGACCATAGGAATGGGTAGAGCTCAAGGGCATTGCTCACCTGTTGAATAATTGGTCTATTGTATCCCTGATAGTGCTTTGATCTGATGTTTCTATAGATGAACACCTTACGTTGATGATGTGCGGTTATTGGGACTAAGGAAAATAGTACGTTCTTATTGGCATTGATTTCTGATTTTAATCTGGTATATTGTTTCGTTGGGGTACAGAGGAAGGAGCCTTGTTTGCAATATTGGCTCGAGGATGTTTTCATATTGGCCGATTCTGTGGCCAGTGAAAACAAGGCTGACAACTAGCCGGGCTTGTAAACTAAAGGCTGACCTTGATTGTCGGATAAAGTTGTTATTGTTGACTGTGTGATATCAACAACCGCAAGGGGGGCTATTGACCTGGGGATTTAACACAGCTTACCTCTGTGTATGATGCTCGGCACGTACAGTGTCTGGGTTTTGTACTACGATTACCTGACATCCGTGTGTAGATCTTTGTTTGTTTGTTTGTTTGTTTGTTTGTTGTTTAACGCTGCCCTCAGCAATATTCCAGCTATATGACAGTGACAAGATAGACACAATTTTATGGATAACAACTTCTTTAATACTGTAAAAAGCGACGTTTCGGTATAGATCCTTATACCGTTGTCAAGCAAGACCATAAAATTGTGTCTATCTTGTCATCCGCCAACTTCTAAGTAATGCCTATCAAACAAGTTATATGACAGTGGTTTGTAGATATTCGAGTCTGGACCAGACAAGCCAGTGATTGACATCATGAGCATCTATCTGCCTGTGTGGACCTTGTTTATACTGGTGACAAAGATAGCAGCAACAAGGAGCTGATGTTACCTGCATAGTTCGGTGTTGGAAAGAAGAGATGGGGGCTGGTAGTTTTGTTGTTTTTGTTGTTTTTTGTGTGTGTGTGTGTGTTGGGGGGGGGGGGGGGGGGGGGGGGGGTTGCTGGTGTGTGTGTGTGGGGGGGGGGGGGGGGGGGGTTGCTGGTGGGTGTGGGGGTGGGGGTGTGGGGGTGTGTGGGTGTGGGTGTGTGGGTGTGGGTGTGTGTGTGGGTGGGTGTGTGTGTCTGTGTGGGTGTGTGTGGGGGGGGGTTGCTGGTGTGTGTGTGTTTCTAGTTTTGTTTATGAGGGGTGTATGTTGTAGTTGTGTATGCAGGAAAGGGTGTGGGTTGTTAGGTCATAGTTTATCTGTCATAGCTTTTTTTTCTTTCTCTTGGCTCCTTTCTACTTTATATCTTATTGAAGTTAACCCCTCTTTATTTGTAAGGGGCGGCTGGGTAGCCTAGCGGTTGGAGTGTACGCTTGTCACGCCGAAGACCCGGGTTCGAATCCCGACATGGGTACATTGTGTGAAGCCCATTTCTGGTGACCCCCGCCGTGATATTGCTGGAATATTGCTAAAAGCAACGTAAAACCGTACTCACTCACTCACTTTATTTTTAAATGTTCAATTCGGAAACCTGATGTCTAGAGCCATCATTAACAATGTTTATGGATGATGCATTCACACACACATTCTTGTTGGAAGCCACTTCATGACCTTTCAGAATGAATTCAGGAAAAACAGGAGCAGGTTTTGAAATTCAAACAATTTCCCAGACTTTTAGGAATCATTTTTGTATTTGAACCATGGACAGATGTTCCAAATAAACACCCTGGTTAACTCAAGTGTCTGACATAAACTCCAAGTGTCTGACATAAACTCCTCGAGTGTCTGACATAAACTCCTCGAGTGTCTGACATAAACTCCGAGTGTCTGACATATCGAATGTCTGACATAAACTCCTCCAATGTCTGACATAAACTCTGAGTGTCTGACATAAACTCCTCGAATGTCTGACAAACTCCTCGAATGTCTGACATAAACTCTGAGTGTCTGACATAAACTCCTCGAGTGTCTGACATAAACTCCTCGAATGTCTGACATAAACTCCTCGAATGTCTGACATAAACTCCTCGAGTGTCTGACATAAACTCCTCGCCAGGTTGTATCAGTATCTTCCTTCCTGCAGTGAAGATTCTTTTCAACACTAGAGAACACTTCAGAAAGTTCTGTCAGCACTTATCTTTTTCTAAATTCAAACTTTACCACCCTTACGTTTTAAAGCTGCAAGACCATATTTCCAAGTATCTTACTCTTAGGCCAGAGTATTTTAATTTCTTGTTTTAAGGATTTCTTTTTGCCAATATAGGAGGCAAAGATAAACTATCTCTATTTGCAAAAACTGTTAAGGATACAAGGAATATCTTTTGTCTACACAATCAGGGAAAAATATGGTCGCGTTTCAAAACCAGCATAAAAAAAAGTATATTACAGCAATATGGCCCTTTTTTCAAGCTGTGGGTACATCGCTGATAATGAGGTTACACAACATCCTCCATGACTGAGCAGCAACAGGAAGATTAGACACCAGGTGATGGGGAGGTCTGTTTGGAAAAGTCACGCTAACTCTCTTCTTCCTGGATGACTTTCTAATGACTCACAGCAAATTAATCTAGATAAGATACAACGTGTATCAGGCACCAACAGCTTTCTCTGGAAGTGTGCTGCAATTTAGTTGTAGATGGAAAGGTTACCGTATTTGACGTTATAAGGGCGCTCTCAAAATTGGAAATAGGGGGCTCTTATTAGAATATCATTTTGGTGAAAAAAAAAGATAAATTTCGTGGTTTATGCTGACAGCCTGAAATGTTTATGTACTACAGATATACTTTTCCAGAATTTAATGGCCAATAAATAGAGGTGCATATAACACACGAGTGTGTACTATATGCGAATTAATAAGTCTTGTGTATATTGATCAATCGGAAGGGGTGCTAATTGGGATTATTCACTAGCCAATATATTAGCAGATATCGCCATGGGCGCTTATTAGAGCGGGCGCTTATTACGTCGAATACGGTATTTGGTGAAGAGGTCCAATGCTTTGTTTTTTTTTCATGCTAAATATCTCAGACTCTAAGGTCGTGTGATCATTTTCACGATTTCAGAATTTTAAAAACTTCAAAATTGCTTGACATAAATAGAAACTGGCTCTGATAGTTTCAACAGATGTTAACAGAATCATTGGATATGCAAGATAACTTAGATAACAGACCATGACTTATGAACATGGCAAGTGTTAGCGTTCAACTATCATCATGATCATGTTTCATACTGAAATACATCCGGCATCACAGCAAAGCGTTTCATGCAGACTGCACAAAAGTTCAACTGTTATAAAGATTTGTGACGAAGATTAAAAGGAGTGTATATGTATATGCTGTATCCTAGACTTGCTCAAGTCTCTAAGACAATAATGATTAATTTCAATCATAATTTCTAGATTATGTAAATAATAAGAACAAGTTGTCCCTATAAGAGACTGGATTCCTTAGATGTACTGTCTTTATATCTAGACTTGCCTATTAGGAGAATAGAATTATTACACATCCATGGACTTATCTTTCAGTACAGCCTTGGAGCAAGGCTAGCTGTATCCCTGTGATAGTCTGTCTCCTAGAACCTGCAGAATAAATTAAAATAGGAGTCCAACTCGAGTCCAGAATGATTGGGCAAGTCTAGATTGCCTCAGCTCTAGAAATTAAGATCTGGGCTCCATTTGGATTTTATTTCATATTTTGTAGATACATATTTTTCATGTCAGTCTTTGCCTGAGACAAAGAGCAGAGGGCCAGATAAGCTGTGTATTAGCAGAAAAGTTGAAACATAAATCACAATAACGCAATTAATTTTGAGCTGTTTGTGTACTAGGACCCGTGAAGATTCCGGGGTAGAATAGCTCTTCAGCAACCCATGCTTGCCGTAAAAGGCGACTATGCTTGTCGTAAAAGGCGACCAACGGGATCGGGTGGTCAGGCTCGCTGACTTGGTTGATGCATGTCATCGATCCCAATTCCGTGGATCGATGCACATGATGTCAATCACTGGATTGTCTGGTCCAGACTCGATTATTTACAGACCACCATCATATAGCTGGAATATTGCTGAGTGCGGCGTTAAACAACCAACAAACAAACAAACAAAAACTAATAGGAAAGGAAAAGAAGTAGTCAAACAGTCTGCATAAATACGCTCACTGTTAAACTACTTTTTGTCCTGTAATGGATGTACCTGAATATCTTTACACTCCTATCTTTACTATTGGCATCACGGGACGGTCGGGTAGCCTAGTGGGTAAAGCGTTCGCTCGTCACGCTGAAGACCCGGGTTCGATTCCCAACATGGGTACAATGTGTGAAGCCCATTTCTGGTGTCCCCCTCTGGATATTGCTGGAATATAGCTAAAAACGGCGTAAAACCATACTCACTCACTCACTAATGGCATCACTGCACATAAACTGTTCTGCTGTGAACCTGGTCTGTCTTACAGACCCTGATACAAATATATATCAAATACAGCCCATGCAAGTCTATAATGTTTGGCAAGTCTAGATTACTACAGTATCAGGATGAAGAGAGTCACTGGGCTCCCTTTTATTATATTTTTATTAAGAAAACTGAACAACTGAATGATAACATGTGTAATATCTACCAATTGGTTTAAAAATACCCAGTATACTGGATCTGAGGGAGATAACAAGTTGAATACCCAGTGTGAATGATAAAGTGTAATATCTACCAATTGGTTTAAAAATATCAAGTATACTGGATCTGAGGCAATAACAAGTTGAATACCAAGTGTGAATGATAACGTGTGTAATATCTACCAATTGGTTTAAAAATACCCAGTATACTGGATCTGAGGGAGATAACAAGTTGAATACCAAGTGTGAATGATAACGTGTGTAATATCTACCAATTGGTTTAAAAATACCCAGTATACTGGATCTGAGGCAATAACAAGTTGAATACCAAGTGTGAATGATAACATGTGTAATATCTACCAGTTGGTTTAAAAATACCCAGTATACTGGATCTGAGGGAGATAACAAGCTGAATACCCAATGTGAATGATAACGTGTGTAATATCTACCAATTGGTTTAAAAATACCCAGTATAGTGGATCTGAGGGAGATAACAAGTTGAATACCCAATGTGAATGAGGACGTGTGTAATATCTACCAATTGGTTTAAAAACTACCCATTATACTGGATCTCAGGGGATAACAAGTTGAAATAGCCAATGTGAATGATAACATGTGTGTAAATGCTGAGTGGCTTAAAAAGTTATCCGGAGCCTGGTAAAGAGACAATCTGGTAACAAAATGTATGATGATTTTTCCAGAACAGTCTCTGAGCGTTAATAAGGATCATGTTTAACAAGGAAAGGACCGTCTATGTATTCTACTGGTGTGGGAAAACTGAGTAGGGTTGTTGTTTTTAGTTCCGGGGACTGTCTGAGGCTCACAGGATCTACACCCTCGCCAGCTAACTCTCTCCACATTGGACTGGAATGGATTTGTCATGGGAAATGTGTGAGAGTGAGGGTACTGTTTGCATCAGCAGCATCAACACATTGCTTCTCACTTAGCAGTGCTCAACTTAACACTGCCTGTGTGGAGCTTGTTAACTCTTGTGACAAAGATAGCAGCAACAGGGGGCTTGTGTTACAAGCACAGTCAGGGGTGGGGAGGGAGTGATGGGGGGCTGGGCAGGGAGAGATGGGGGGTGGTAGTTTTCTTTTCTTTATTTATATTATTTTTTTATTATTTTTTTTTTTGGGGGAGGGATGTTCTAGTTTTGTTTATGAAGGGTGTAGGTCATAGTTGTGTATTGTATGCAGGGAAGGGTGTGTAGGGTTGTTAGGTCGTAGTTGTGTGTAGGTTTTGTTTGTGTGTTGTTTAACGCCGCACTCAGCAATATTCCAGCTATATGTCGACAGTCTATAAATAATCGAGTCCGGACCAGACAATCCAGTGATTAATAACCAATGCTGGCATTCATCACAGACCAAGAACACTTCAGGGCTTTTAATTTATTGTATACCAGTTCACGATTCTACAACTATAGCTGACATTACTTCAACCCTGGTCTCTGTGTTTCAGGTGTTCCTCTGTGTGATCACATGTACCGTGACGGCGTTCCTGTGTGGGATCACCGCCATCCTGACTGGCACCCACGTGACCCGCCCCCTCATGGCGCTGTCCCACTGCTCGTACTTCCCCTTCCTGATGGAGTGCCACTGCATGTCTCCCTACAGAAGGTCCATGCTGGAGATCTCCTACACGCCAAACGGTAACGGTACTTCTTTACTTCTTAATGACAGACGGCCTCCGTGGTCTGGGGTCTGGGGTTCGTTCCCCAGGCGTGTCATACCAAAAGACGTTAAAAGATGGTACTTGTTGTTACCCTGTCTGGCGTTCGGCATTAAGGGGTTAAAACAAGGACTGGTCGGCTCGGAGTCAGTATACTGTGTCTGAGTGGGGTATTCATGTTAAACTGCGGCATGGTATCTCAGTGTGCTGTCACTATAAATCGGCATCAGTCTGGACTAGTACAAGCAGCCACACACACTTACACGTGCATGCACGTCGCTATATAAGTGCAATAATCCCCATTTCACCTCACCTCACTTCTTACTGACTTGCGTCCAATAAATAAAATAAAAAACATGACTTTAAAGTGATTTTATAAAAAAAACTATGAAATAAATGTTAAAAATTGGAAACTGCTCATGTTGACCTTCTTTACCATGTTTTCATTTTTTTCATCATTTAAAATTTGTTAACAGACTTGGCAGGAAGAAATGACAGGACAAAACTTATATTATTTTTTTAATTGGGGGTTGGCAGATCCATATACAATGTATTATTATAAAATGATAAAAAAACAAAAACATGAAAGAGCAGACACGATTCAAATTGCTCCCAGGGATTTATCTAGCAGCTGATGTCAGAGGATGCAATATTTTAGGAGCCTATACCGAATCACAAGGAGCCAGTTTCAAATTGAAACAATATCTTTGAGGCCTCAAGGATAAATTGGAGGAATGTGTTCAATGGCTGCAGTTTTACTGAAATTCAATGTCTGGACAGTGTGTGTTTTCGGAATATGACATAATATAACCGTGGTGATAAACAAGGACTTCTGTTGACCTGAGTTGCTTGTGTCTGTTGTAGATCCCACCAGTGTGGTGTTCAGCGACACGGACAGCTGTGACAGCATACAGAAGTTGATGCTGCACATGTTGTACGCTCTGATTGGAGCCTACGTCATCAGCTTCCTCTTCACGGTGGGGGCGGCCATATTGGCTCTGCTGGTTCTACGCATGGAGAAAATCAGGATGGGGTTGTTTGAGGTGAGTGTGTAAGCAAGGATTATATCCTGCCTTAATATTAAATATTATCCCGGGGGAAGTTTCACTCCCTAGTGAATTTGAACCCATTCCAGTGTGTTTAATCCTATCCTATACTATACTCTAAACACACTGGAATGGGTTCAGATTCACTAGGGAGAATCATCCCCAGGATGAAAAATAGGGTAGGAAAATATTCACTCTTACAAGTGCACCCAGGCGCACGGGTGGCCCAGGCGCCGCGATTCGCTGTGCAGAGTTGCGTCCCTTAGGCATGACAGAAACCTATGATTGTGGGTTCGAATCCCGGTTCGCCCCAATTATGTTTCTAGGTTTGTCAGCACCATACCCGTGCTCGTGGGTTTCACCAAAGTCGTAAATTTCTGAAACCTGCATCACTTCAGGCTTTCCTCCCACATTCAGCTGACACGCCGCGATATGACTGGAATACTGTTAAAAGCGGCGTTAAACCAAACTCACTCACTCACTACAAGTGCACCCAGTGGATGAATGGAGATCTGTTGGTTAAGGGGAGATAACTGAAGTTGTTTCATACCTGGCACTTTTGTTTTGCCACTTCGGAAATAAGTGAGATGTTTGTTTGGTGTTTAGCGTCACACTCAGCAATATTCAGCTAAATGATGGCGAATTGTAGTTAATTGAGTCTGGACCAGACAATCCAGGCATTCACATCATGAACAAAGCTAAATTGGGATCGATGACATGCATCAACCAAGTCAGCAAGCCTAACCCCCCGATCCCGTTAGTCTCCTCTTACGAAGAGCATGATTTGCTGAGGACCAGTTCTAACATGGATCTCCATAGAGGAAAAAGTTGCTTGCTATTTCTAGCATTTCTTACATGTCTTTACAGTCCACTACATTCTATTACTGCTGAAACCATGCCTCTTTTGTTAAAGTCAGTAAAAGTTGAGCTGCATGGTTAAGTAATGTCGAGGTGGTGTCAAAGTTGAACTCACCACTCAGCAAGGAAACAGATAAGTTTACATCTGTGAGTCAAGGGAGATAACTCCTGATTGTTGAGTCAAGCTGTTGTTTGTGGATGAAAATAGGGTTGTGATTGAAAATCATGCTTGGTAAGTGATGTGGGGTGGGGTTGGGTGGTGTGGGGTGGGGTTGGGTGGTGTGTAGTAGGGCGGCTTAGTAGTTCGGGTGCTTGTTTGTTGGTACAATATCAGAGCTCCAGATAAGCTGCGTATCTGCGTGAAATACGCATCAGAAATGCAGAAATACACAGTAAAATATAATCCAAGCGTATCAAATACGCAACGAACATTACAGATACGCTACAAAAATAAAACTTGTGCGTATCATCAAAATATTGCGAAGTAACCCTGCGTATTCGATAGGCAAATCAGCAACTTATTTTGAAATTATAAACGGGCATTCCGTCAACCTTGCCAAACTCCACGATGACAGTTACATCATGGTCATTGGCCATCACACTTTCTTGTGGAAGTATCGTGGTATTTTTGAGTCCTATAAAGCTCTCGAACCCACACGACACCAGTTTGTAGGAACTAGATGAATAGTGTTTTTAAATATTTAACTTAAATACCTACATGTGTAAAAACTAGTGGGTAACAGAAATTTGAATACGCAGATAGAATTACTGATACCCAATGATTTTAAAATGCATGGGTAAAATACCCACAACACCAAAAGCTTATCTGGAGCTCTGAATATGAAACCCATTTTTGGTGTTCCCTCAATTTGATATTGCTGGAATATTGCTACAAGTTGCGTGAAACCTCACTCACTCAATCCAGTATATATATGGGATATGATGACATGCATCAACCAAGTCAGCAAGCCTGACCCTGTTAGTCGTCTCTGACGACAGTATAGTCGCCTTTTACGACAAATATGGGTTGCTGAAGATGTACATGTGATCTTCACAGGTACACTCGCAATCAATGAATAAGGAGTGATTGAGTAAGTTGTGTAACAGGGAATTGTTCAGGAGCTCAGCTGAAGCTGTTGCACATACATTCTGTGACATGCAACTGGAAATGTGTGTGGTTTGACAGTCAGATAAGATTTTGTTTTGCTTGTGAAGAATATTTGTAGACATTGATTCTGCGAAGAGAATCTGAAGAAGAAATGAGCATGTGTTAAGAGTATGTAATAATTTAATATTTAAATAATTAACAACAAAATAATTTTGTACTTTCAGGATGACACATATGAAGAAATCTTCACCGTCAGCAACAGCAGTGCAACTCCACCATCCTCGGACAGTGACAACGAGAACCAACACATGCTCCATCCAATCCTGCCATCCAGCGACGATGGGAGAATCCCCGAGTCCCACATTATTCGCAGAAGTCGAAGTTTCAGTCAGCCCAGGTTCCCGACCTCTGCGGATGCTACTGAGAAGAGCATTCCTAAAATCACAGTGTCGGCACCGACGAAGCCAGAACCCCAGGGCAAGCTAAAGGAACATCGTCGCCGGAGTCGCCGCGCTGTGACTCTGCACAACCTGGACACCCATCAACTGATGGTGATACTGAGCCTGCAGATGCGCTACCTTCAGGAGAACGAGAACGCCCAGTCTCAGTCCACGCTCAGTGCACAACAGCTGAGTCAGCAGTTACGGCGGGCTCTCACACCGCAGCCAAACCACGATCGTCAGAATCGGGGGCAAGGACAGGAAGTTCGTCAGATCAGGTCCCACACACCCCAGCCATATCATTTCAAGAACCGTGGTTCCTACATCGATCCTGTTCAGCCAAATTATGAAAATATGTTTGATCCCACGGAGTTCATTAATCAGCTAAAACAGGAGCAGGCGCAAATTGGGTGTAACGGAAATAAGGTTCCAGCAGAGCGGGAGTTGTCACGGCACAACACGGCACCTGCCTCACGGCCCAAAACACCAAGGCAGGGATACTCGTCTCAAACCATTCCACCGCCGCAAAATTCCAGAAAAGGAAACAAAACTCCCATCAGATCCAATTATTACGAAGAAATCGATGATATGGCGGATTGCTTAGATGACAGTAGTGCATCAGAGCAAATCTATGAAAACCACACTGGAAACCGCCTATCTGCTCAAAGACGTAATCGAGGTCAAGGTGAAGGTCATTCAGTGCCTGCTCCAGCAGTGTGCGTTCAGGGAAGTGGTGGGAAACCAAGGGACATTACCAACATACTTCCGGCATTGTATCCCTCGATTCCGAGACACTTGTTTGACCGGGGTCAGACCCCATCGCGTCCGAAAAGTTACATGAATGCAGTTGATGCATCAGATTCTCCGCAAACTTCGCGCAGACACCAGTCTCAGAATCCCAGCCAGCATAATCCCAGCTCTCAGCCAAACACATCTCAAGTCCGACCAATTCAGGAAAATTCATGGAGGAATCAGGATGTCGATTCAGAATCAGCAGACAGTGCCATTTATGCAATGCCAGTTAAGAAGCAACGCCAGCCGGCTAAACCAGCACGAAATCGCAGCCCCGACTGGCCGGGAAACCAGCCCCGCCCATCCCTCCCTGGTCAGAGTGATGTGCGGTCAGCGTTTCATGTGGTACCACGCAGCAAGAAATCCAAGCCTGCCCAGAAATGGAGTGCCACTTCTGATCCCGCGGCCAGGTTGCAGGTTTCTGCTCGTACCTATGACGGCAATATGAACGATTTCAGCATGCAGGGACAAACAAACCATGTGTCGAACGTGTCTGCATTTTTCCCCCCACCTCCCTACTCCCCTCCCCCGTCTTACACGGACGTGATCACGCACTCAAGGGACAGCTCCCTCCATTCGCTCACCAGCAGCACCTCCACATCAGAAGACGTGGATTTTTACCAACAAATCCGAAAACCACAACAGCCTCCCCGATCAAAAATCTCACCCCATCGTCAGGAATCTCAAAACGTCCCCTCGCATCCGAACTGGGAGGAAAACTCGGTGTTCCATGACAGCATCCCATACAGTGGGCCGGGGGTTAATGCTGTGGGACAAAGATGGAATGGTGTAGAGTATCAGAACATTGATGAGACGCCTAACGGACGAGTTGGCGGACCTAGCTACAGGAGGCAGGGATACGATGCCTTTCAGGATGAGCCAGTGAGAGGGCCTGCTTCGCGGAGTCGTGGGTCGGCAAGGCAGGATGGTGCAGGCTGCGAGGCTCCTCAGTACAGCGCCGCTGCATCCACCGAAGGCAACAGCAGCGACTCGGACTGTATGGAAACAGTCATATAATCTGCTGCGTCAGTGTGACGGACTGTAGTTGAATAATGTGCTGCGTTCTTGTGACTTATGGAAACAGTCATATAATCTGCTGCGTCATTGTGACAGACTAGTTGAATAATGTTCTGCGTTCTTGTGACTGTATGGAAAGATATATAATCTGCTGCATCAGTGTGATGGACTGTAGTTGAATTATGTGCTGCGTTCTTGTGACTGTATGGAAACAGTCATATAATCTGCTGCGTCAGTGTGACAGACTAGTTGAATAATGTGCTGCATTCTTGTGACTGTATGGAAACAGTCATATAATCTGCTGTGTCAGTGTGACGGACTGTAGTTGAATTATGTGCTGCGTTTTTGTGACTGTATGGAAAGGTTTGTGCTGTATTTTTGGAAATTGCTTGACAAAAGGTACACTTCAAGTCCTACATTGTGCAAGAATTGATTTGTTGGAGATACCCCTTGTGAAAATGTTATGTTATATGTGTCTTCAGCCTGAGTGGTTTGTAGATACATGTGACATTAATTGTGTTAAGCAAGACATTAATTGTGTTACTGCTTTTTGACTGGACTTCAAAGCAGGATAATTGCCACTTAGTGTGCTGTGTATGTCAGATACTGCAACGTATTGGTGTAACTCTTTGACCAAACCCAGGGCATTGGCAGGTAATGCATTGTAGTACTGCGACACATTTATCAGACACGAAGTATTAGTTGTGGTGAATGTGATGTGTCTTTGTGTCTCGGACTGTGGATCTGACTTTGTCACCTTGTGTCTTGTGCGCAGATGAAGCTTGTCATTGTTTATTGTTGTCCTTAATCCACCCAGTGAATGATTGGCTTTCATTGAGTGCATCACTCAGGACTGTGATGACCTGATGTTACCCAGCACTGTTCCTGTGAAATACACCTGCAGATTGAGACCTGTTCCTGTGAATATTTACCTGCAGATCGAGACCTGTTTCTGTGAAATATTTACCTGCAGATCGAGACTTGTTCCTGAGAAATATTTACCTACAGATTGAGACCTGTTCCTGTGAAATATTTACCTGCAGATGGAGACCTGTTTATTGCTCTAAGTGACCCTGAGGAATCTGGACCATGGACAGCAAATTGTCAGAACAGTGTCAATAAGGCTGGACAACTTTATTGTCAAGTTTTACAGATATGTTTGCCCAGCTGTTGAAAAATATCTTTTTTGAAAAGTATGTTTGTAATGTTGTAACTTTTAACCTCAAGACTCAAGATTGTTTGTATTGCCTACTGCATAATGCATGTTGGTCAGGTCAGTATGTACAAGTGGCCTGGCTTCAAGTTGCTTATTTATTGGCCAGTGAACGATGTATCCACCTTCCAGAGCTGAGTGGGACGTCCAGCAGTGGGAACAGTTACCATCAGGTTCATGATAAACAACATGAAGTGTCAGCAATCTTATTATAATCAGATCTTAGTTTTCGCTACCCCTAAACAAAGATCTGAGGACATCCCTTTACGGGTCACGTCAGAATGACCTTTCGCGAACATTGACCGACCAATGAAATGACTGACAAGAAATCCACATTAGCCAATCAGAAGGCAGCTTTCTTGAGCTTTACGACACTAGTTTCAAACTGGCAACTACGCTTCAAAACATATTTTGACGTATTGGCGATTAATTCTTTTTAAACTGATCAAAAGATCATTCTGGAATGGCTTATAGTTGGTCTAGATTGTATGGATATAATCATAAATCCCGAAACTGTCATTCGGAATACCCTCTGTTAAATATTCCGAGGTTGCATAGTTGCAAAACACATTCCGACTGTCACTTTCATGATCTGGTAAGCGACGCTCTGATTTGGTGGATGAAAGGTCGTTCTGACGTGACCCGTAATTGGATGTCCTCAGATCTTTGTTTCGCGGTAGCGAAAACTAAGATCTGATTTTAATGAGATTGGGTGTGTCAGTAAAAACGCCAATCTACAAAGGGCAAATTGTAAATGTGACTCTTGCTCTATGGGAGGGTCAAGAAACAGATGGCAGTATTAACTTTCAAACAAACTTTGCTATCAACAAGTGCTATACAGTTGTATATATGAGTTGTTCGTGAAATGGACACTTGACGACAAAAGGTTTGATGAATGCCTGTATGATGAGATTCTTCAATACCTCCGGAGATTTATTAACAGTTACTTGGTTTAGGGATCAGTGGGGGCACGGGTGGCCCAGTCGTCTAAGGCGCCGCGATTTGCTGTGCATGATTGTGGGTTCGAACCCTGGTTCGCCCCAATTATGTTTCTAGGTTTGTCAGCACCATATCCGTGCTCGTGGGTTTCACCTAAGTGGTAAACGTCCGAGACCTGCATCACTTCAGGCTTTCCTCCCACATTAAGCTGACACGCCGTGATATAACTGGAATAATGTTAAAAGCGGCGTTAAACCCAACTCACTCACTCACTTAGGGATCAGGAGAACCAAACATTCAGCAAAATAGTAATAAATGAGTGTCTCTCTATCCATGCAGTCTGTTCATGGGCTTCAATGCTCCAACTCTCAGTTGTTTTGCCCGTGATGCTTTAATTAGCCTGTGTAATCTCCAGTACAAATTAGCATTGAACGATTGAGATTATAGTCCATAATAAGCAAATTTTGAATCCACGAAGGTGAAATGGGGTTTAACGTCTCATCCAAGATTATTGCACTTATATAGCGCATGCACGTGTATGTATGTGTGTGGCTGCTTGTACTAGTCCGGACTGATGCCGATTTATAGTGATAGCTCACTGAGATACTATGCCGCAGTTTAACATGAATACCCCACTCAGACACAGTATACTGACTCCGAGCCAACCAGTACTTGTTTTAGCCCCTTAATGCCGAACGCCAGTCAGGATAACATCCAGTACCATCTTTTAACGTCTTTTGGTATGACGTGGTCGGGGATCGAACCCCGGACCTTTCACTCTCTGGGCGGACGCTCTACCACTAGACCACGGTGGCGATCTGAATCCATGACGAAAAAAATCGATCCCTATTTCAATACTTTCTAAGTTGGAGAATTGTAGCCCTTAAACACCTTTCAGTAATGAAAGAAAATGTGGGAGTAATGGGAGGGGGGAATCCTTGTCATTAAAAGAAACACTTTCATTTTAATCATTCTCTTTATTTTACAAACAAGACTTAAAGATATCAACGAAATGAAAACATTTTTCACCACAAACCCACATTACTTGAACAGAATCTGTAAGCCAAGTAATTGAACCAGCAAGGCCTGATGGAGGCAGGCCCAGAAGGTTGTCACTTTCGACAAGTCAAAATACTCACCACAAAAAATTGTGAATATGTCTCTAACCATTAAAGCATACTATTTTTGTATATTATATATCTGTGCTTTTTGTAAATATGTTAGTTCTATATATTTTTATATCCATGCATTATCATTATGGACCAATAAGATCAAGTTCTATTGAGAAGAACACTCAATATCATTTCAGGAATTTCAAATTCAGGGTTCTGATTGGTTTCAGTAAAAAGCAAGGCCAAAAAAATGTTCTTGGTTTCTGGTACGAGAGACGATGAACTTGCTTGGTAGCTAACTGTCATTTATTATGCATACTTTCTTTCCTGTCTGTAACATCATTTGTCAGAAACATGGGTTTCACTACAAGACCTGCATCACCTCAGGCTTTCATCCTTCATCTAGATGACTCGCCATGACATTGAAGACAAGTTATTTTATGGATTACAACTTCATTTTTTTTTTTTTTTCATAAGAGGTGATTAACGGGATCGGGTGGTCAGGCTCTCTGACTTGGTTGATACATGTCATCGATCCCAATTGCATGGATCGATGCTCCCGATGTCAATCACTGGATTGTCTGGTCCAGACTCGATTATTTACAGACCGCCGTCATATAGCTGGAATACTGCTGAGTGAGGCGTTAAACAAACAAACAATATTATGATCTATGAGAATATCTGGTTTATATCTTTGTACTGTCTTTACCAAAACAGCTACTAAAAGTGCCAATCAAACAGTTCAGTCGCCATGATATGACTGAAACAGTGGTCAAAGTGGCGTAAAACCAAACTCCCGTAAATCAAAATCTACATGCCCAGACTGAAACAAGAGACAGTTGGAGTTGACCAGTGCTAAGGTTGTTTTACTTGAAGGTCCATGTTGTTCTCATTGTGTTTACATGGTGTACATACTCCAACATAGCATAAACAATAAACATCATCTACAATGAAGTCTCTGGTCGCTTGTCTTTTGTTAATATGTTCCCCGGACTGACCTGTTATGTTAGAAGCAACTCAGGTCTGAAGCTGTTTGTTTTTCCTTGACCTTGACTGCTGAAGCTGTCTCTAGGGATTCTCCGAATGATTTTTTCCAAGGACTACTGCTTTAAAAAACGTGATTTCCCGCTTTTCCGACGAGATTTCACATCCCTGATTCTGGGCAGAACACATCCCCAGTACCTCATGCTTGTCTCTCTAGGGATTCTGGGCAGAATACATTCCCAGTACCTCATGCTTGTCTCTCTCCAGGGATTCTGGGCAGAATACGTCCCCAGTACCTCATGCTTGTCTCTCTATGGATTCTGGGCAGAATACGTCCCCAATACCTGATGCTTGTATCTCTATGGGGATTCTGGGCAGAATACGTCCCCAGTACCTGATGCTTGTTGCTCTCTAGGGATTCTGGGCAGAATACGTCCCCAGTACCTGATGCTTGTCTCTCTAGGGATTCTGGGCAGAATACATTCCCAGTACCTGATGCTTGTCTCTCTCTAGGGATTCTGGGCAGAATACATCCCCAGTACCTGATGCTTGTCTCTCTCTAGGGATTCTGGGCAGAATACATCCCCCAGTACCTCATGCTTGTCTCTCTATGGGGATTCTGGGCAGAATACGTCCCCAGTACCTGATGCTTGTTGCTCTCTAGGGATTCTGGGCAGAATACGTCCCCAGTACCTGATGCTTGTCTCTCTAGGGATTCTGGGCAGAATACATTCCCAGTACCTGATGCTTGTCTCTCTCTAGGGATTCTGGGCAGAATACATCCCCAGTACCTGATGCTTGTCTCTCTCTAGGGATTCTGGGCAGAATACATCCCCCAGTACCTCATGCTTGTCTCTCTATGGGGATTCTGGGCAGAATACATCCCCAGTACCTCATGCTTGTCTCTCTAGGGATTCTGGGCAGAATACATTCCCAGTACCGCATGCTTGTCTCTCTATGGGGATTCTGGGCAGAATACATCCCCAGTACCTCATGCTTGTCTCTCTCTAGGGAATCTGGGCAGAATACGTCCCCAATACCTGATGCTTGTCTCTCTATGGGGATTCTGGGCAGAACACATCCCCAGTACCTCATGCTTGTCTCTCTAGGGATTCTGGGCAGAATACGTCCCCAATACCTGATGCTTGTCTCTCTATGGGGATTCTGGGCAGAATACGTCCCCAGTACCTGATGCTTGTCTCTCTCTAGGGATTCTGGGCAGAATACATCCCCAGTACCTCATGCTTGTCTCTCTAGGGATTCTGTGCAGAATACGTCCCCAATACCTGATGCTTGTCTCTCTATGGGGATTCTGGGCAGAATACGTCCCCAGTACCTGATGCTTGTTGCTTTCTAGGGATTCTGGGCAGAATACGTCCCCAATACCTGATGCTTGTCTCTCTATGGGGATTCTGGGCAGAATACATTCCCAGTACCTGATGCTTGTCTCTCTATGGGGATTATGGGCAGAATACGTCCCCAGTACCTCATGCTTGTCTCTCTAGGGGGATTCTGGGCAGAATACATCCCCAATATCTGATGCTTGTCTCTCTATGGGGATTCCGGGCAGAATACGTCCCCAATACCTCATGCTTGTCTCTCTATGGGGATTCTGGGCAGAATACGTCCCCAGTACCTCATGCTTGTACTCTCTATGGGGATTCTGGGCAGAATACGTCCCCAATACCTCATGCTTGTCTCTCTCTAGGGATTCTGGGCAGAATATGTCCCAATACCTCATGCTTGTCTCTCTCTAGGGATTCTGGGCAGAATACATCCCCAGTACCTCATGCTTGTCTCTCTATGGGGATTCCGGGCAGAATACATCCCCAGTACCTCATGCTTGTCTCTCTATGGGGATTCCGGGCAGAATACATTCCCAGTACCTGATGCTTGTCTCTCTATGGGGATTCCGGGCAGAATACATCCCCAATACCTCATGCTTGTCTCTCTCTAGGAATTCCGGGCAGAATACATCCCCAGTACCTCATGCTTGTCTCTCTCTAGGGATTCCGGGCAGAATACATCCCCAGTACCTCATGCTTGTCTCTCTCTAGGAATTCCGGGCAGAATACATCCCCAGTACCTCATGCTTGTCTCTCTCTAGGGATTCTGGGCAGAATATATCCCCAGTACCTCATGCTTGTCTCTCTCTAGGGATTCTGGGCAGAATATATCCCCAGTACCTCATGCTTGTCTCTCTCTAGGGATTCTGGGCAGAATATATCCCCAGTATCTCATGCTTGTCTCTCTATGGGGATTCTGGGCAGAATACGTCACCAATACCTCATGCTTTTCTCTCTCTAGGGATTCCGGGCAGAATACGTCACCAGTACCTCATTCTTGTCTCTCTCTAGGAATTCCGGGCAGAATACATTCCCAGTACCTCATGCTTGTCTCTCTCTAGGGATTCCGGGCAGAATACGTCACCAATACCTCATGCTTGTCTCTCTCTAGGGATTCCGGGCAGAATACGTCACCAATACCTCATGCTTGTCTCTCTCTAGGGATTCTGGGCAGAATACGTCACCAATACCTCATGCTTATCTCTCTCTAGGGATTCCGGGCAGAATACGTCACCAGTACCTCATGCTTGTCTCTCTCTAGGGATTCTGGGCAGAATACGTCACCAATACCTCATGCTTTTCTCTCTCTAGGGATTCCGGGCAGAATACGTCCCTAGTACCTCATGCTTGTCTCTCTCTATGGGGATTCTGGGCAGAATATGTCCCCAGTTCCTCATGCTTGTCTCTCTCTATGGGGATTCTGGGCAGAATACGTCCCCAGTACCTCATGCTTGTCTCTCTCTATGGGGATTCTGGGCAGAATATGTCCCCAGTTCCTCATACTTGTCTCTCTGTGGATTCCGGGCAGAATACATCCCCAGTACCTCATGCTTGTCTCTCTCTATGGGGATTCTGGGCAGAATACGTCCCCAATATGTCATGCTTGTCTCTCCAGGGATTCCAGACAGAATGTCCCCAGTTCCTCATACTTGTCTCTCTGTGGATTCTGGGCAGAATACGTCCCCAATATGTCATGCTTGTCTCTCCAGGGATTCCAGGCAGAATACATCCTCAGTACCTCATGCTTGTCTCTCTCTATGGGGATTCTGGGCAGAATACGTCCCCAAAATGTCATGCTTGTCTCTCCAGGGATTCCAGACAGAATGTCCCCAGTTCCTCATACTTGTCTCTCTGTGGATTCTGGGCAGAATACGTCCCCAATATGTCATGCTTGTCTCTCCAGGGATTCCAGGCAGAATACATCCTCAGTACCTCATGCTTGTCTCTCTCTATGGGGATTCTGGGCAGAATACGTCCCCAAAATGTCATGCTTGTCTCTCCAGGGATTCCAGACAGAATGTCCCCAGTACCTCATACTTGTCTCTCTGTGGATTCTGGGCAGAATACATCCCCAGTACTGATGCCAGTGAAATGGGGAGCCAGTACAGTGGAGTTGTCTCTCAGGTCCAGACAGAAACACCCACCCAAACAAGCAGTCCATACTGAAATAGAAATTCAAAATTGAAGCACTGTACATGCCAATATTATGAAGATACACATCAGTCCTACACAACAACTGGTAATATTCTCCAGATCAGGTGGACCATATTTTCTTGAGTATTGTGCACACCCAAGTACAATGCACACCCCCTCTAGCCTTTTTTAATATTATGTGCAGAAAAAAATTACACCGTACCCCTTCAACGAATTCTGGTAAACGAACGGGTGATAAGAAACTTGGTCAGTACAAATATAAAATTTGAGATAAAAAATCACCAGACATGTTGATTTACCGTTTAAATTGTATCTTTTGTCTGCAATCTGCTAGGCATTGTTTTACATTCAGAGATAAAGATCACCTTGTGTATTTTGTCGTAAACTAAGCCGGAAACAGCAATCGTCTGTACACATGTTTTCTTGGAATCTACCGGTGATTCGGCTAAAACCTACCCACTGATATAACTTTACAGGATTTTAATGCAAGGATCGGGAAACATAGTATCTGAAACTATTTTTTCTTATCAGGAATAATATATTCCAATATCTTGTTATTTTAGTTGCAGCTTTTACTAAATATATTTAAAATAATAATAACCCTAAGCATAGCACTTGGGTGCAGCTGATCGCTATTGCCAGTTATTTTTTTTCACATGGAACAATTTGACCGCGCACATGATCGCAAGAACTATGTGTTGACACAGAATCGTCAAACTACAACATACGCTCGTATATGACTATTAAGGAGTCAAAGTATGGCATTTATGATATATGTATCCATTCTTGGTCAACTAAAGTTCGTTTCAAGGTGTCAATAGCGGTAATCTGACCGTGGTTGCTGTTACTAACGGTGAGTTGTGCGATCTTTCGATCGCTTCAAACGCGATTTCGCCGAAATGATTTAAAGCAATATTAAAAGGAATTTTGAATAAAATTCATAAAATAAGTTACAAACACAAGTCCAGATATACAATGAACACTTTTTATAGACACACAGTGTAATTACATGATTAATTTGCGTACTTCAGTATGGATTTGTTGACATGGAATTTATAGTGCTATGTGCTCACAGTAATGTCTATGTGTTGGGGGATAAAACATCAAAACTCATTATGGCGTATATGTGCACTCCCTTCTACACAGCTGTGTTTTTTTTTTAAAAAGTGTGCACCATACACAATAAAATATGGTACACTACGAACAGCTGGTAATATTCTCTGGAAGATCAGCAATACACTATATCTGGTAATATTCTCGGGAAGATCAGTAATACACTACAGGTGGTAATATTCTCGGGAAGATCAGCAATATTCTCGAGAAGATCAGCTATACACTACATATGGTAATATTCTCGGGAAGATCAGAAATACACTACAGGTGGTAATATTCTCTGAAAGATCAGAACTATACTACAACTGGTATTTCACTCAGCAATAGCCTAGCTATATGAAAGGATGTATATAATTGTATCTGGTGTATTCATTCATGTGTCCTCAACAAGTTGAGCTAAACTATCTGGTTCTTACCTTGACCTTGGGATAATCCTGAAGAATTATGGCAGTGATGCCCAGATGGGGGACATAGCTGAAACAACAACACTAGATACAGATGTTGTGGGGTGAAATCGTCTAATGATGCATTCAAGATTGTTGCACTTATATAGCCACATCCACGCACGTGCATGTATGTGGCTGCTTGTACTAATGACGGTTCTTTAGTTCTAGCCCACTGACATACTATGTCACAGTTTAACATGAAAACCCCCCTCAGACACAGTATAATGACTCCGAGGCAACCAATCGTTGTTGCATCCTTGTTTCAACTGCCCGACGAATGGAAGACCTCAGGCTTCTGCAAATGATAATGCCCTGAAAAATAGCGTTACCCTTATAGAAACGTGACCAGTCTTTTGAGATATGCATCCTATATAATTCACCTTTATATTTCTGCTAACACTAGGTCCACAGAGCGACCCCACCTCTGAGGCAACACCCCTGTGAGGGCCTTCGAAGTCGATGCTAATTTACCCCAAAAATGAAGTAATCGAGGCATATACATTCCCTACATTTGCAATGAAAACATGCTTGTCTTCCATTGTTTTTTCCAGATGCACAGAGATAATTTGAAAGGTCTGCACTGCAGGGGAGATAATTATGCCAACTGAAGCCTCCATAAAATATTTCTGATGAGACTCTACCATGTCAGAGATTGTTACCATCATCTTCCCGAGGCAAGGGCGTCAACTGACTATATACGTCCAGTTTCAATCCTTCCTGAACTATACTGGAATTTCTGGGCTCGATCGTAGTGGCTATTATGAGTTATATCCCTTCAATATCCCTCCTATTGACCAATCAGATTCCACTTCTCATATCACTTGCATTTGCTTCAAACAAAATGGCGGCGCACAGTCAAGATGATCTGAATGATAATCACAATCTATATTGTGATAAAGCAGGTCCTACTTCATGAAGTGCATCAAATCAAGTGAGCACCTTGATTTAAAACATGAAGATATTTGGAAAACATCTGTTGACGCCAAGCTGGCGGTACACATGCCTTGCAAATCCTGCAATCGACCGAAATCTTCACGGTAGTTTATGATGTGGATGTCAATTTTGTTACGCGATTTTGATTGGATAATGTATAGACTTGTTAGTCCATTCAAACTATAACATAATTCCATCCTAGTTCGGCAAGTGTGGAAACTGGACTATAGTTGGTTAACTCAGTTGCCTCAGGAAGATATTAAACCACCTGATCTTCATCTTATGGTTACAGCTGAAGCTTTGGTTGGTTGGTTGGTTTGTTGTTTAACGCCGCACTCAGCAATATTCCAGCTATGTGACGGCGGTCTGTTAATAATCGAGTCTGGACCATACAATCCAGTGATTAATATCATGAGCATCGATCCACGCAATTGGGATCGATGACAAAAATCAACCAAGTCAGCGAATCTGACCACCTGATCCCATTAGTTGCCTTATACGACGTTGCTTTTACGGCAAGCATGGGTTGCTGAAGATGTATTCTACCCCAGAATCTTCAAAGGGTCTACAGCTAAAGCCATGCAACTCACCCTTTCACGAACCCGACAATGTCTCCTCTCTCCTCTCCCCAGCCATATATATAGACAACAATGTGACTCACCCTTTCACGAACCCGACACTGTCTCCTCTCTCCAGCCATATATATAGACAACAATGTGACTCACCCTTTCACTAACCCGACAATGTCTCCTCTCCCCAGCCATATATAGACAACAATGTAACTCACCCTTTCACTAACCCGACAATGTCTCCTCTCCCCAGCCATATATAGACAACAATGTGACTCACCCTTTCACTAACCCGACAATGTCTCCTCTCCCCAGCCATATATATAGACAACAATGCAACTCACCCTTTCACTAACCCGATCAATGTCTCCTCTCCCCAGCCATATATATAGACAACAATGTAACTCACCCTTTCACTAACCCGACAATGTCTCCTCTCCCCAGCCATATATAGAGACAACAATGTAACTCACCCTTTCACTAACCCGATCAATGTCTCCTCTCCCCAGCCATATATATAGACAACAATGTAACTCACCCTTTCACTAACCCGACAATGTCTCCTCTCCCCAGCCATATATATAGACAACAATGTAACTCACCCTTTCACTAACCAGACAATGTCTCCTCTCCCCAGCCATATATATAGACAACAATGTAACTCACACTTTCACTAACCCGACAATGTCTCCTCTCCCCAGCCATATATATAGACAACAATGTAACTCACCCTTTCACGAACCCGACAATGTCTCCTCTCCCCAGCCATATATATAGACAACAATGTAACTCACCCTTTCACTAACCCGACAATGTCTCCTCTCTCCTCTCCCCAGCCATATATATAGACAACAATGCAACTCACCCTTTCACTAACCCGACAATGTCTCCTCTCCCCAGCCAGAACTTCCCTGGTGGATACAGGCCTCGGTCATCAACAAGATTGTTATCTCCCTTTGTTAGAATCTTCACTGTACCATTCTCCCTGGAGAGAAGAAAACAAGAGCAAGTCTGTCTTACAGACCCTGATACAATTATATATCAAATACAGCCCATGCAAGTCTATAATGTTTGGCAAGTCTAGATTACTGCAGTATGAATGAAGAGTCACTGGGCTCCCTTTTATTAACGCCGAAGACCCGGGTTCGATTCCCGACATGGGTACAATGTGTGAAGCCCATTTCTGGTGTCCCCCTCCGTGATATAGATGGAATATTGCTAAAAGCGGCGTAAAACCATACTCACTCACTCACTCACTCACTCCCTTTTATTATATTTTTATCAAGATAACTGAACAACTTTTTTTCTGTACAATATGTTCATTTCAGAGACTAGATGTTCGTCTAAAGAAGAGCTAATACTAGACTAACACTTTGTCAATGAAAACATGTCTTTAAAATAATTTTTAAAAATGTCTCCGAAAGAACCTTTCCTCTTCTGCTGTTTTCATATTTATCAAGCAAACTAGACTTGGTTAGCTTTATCTAGACTTGCCAAGGCTTCTATTAAAAAGAAAACCTTAAAAATATAATTTCCACAGTCATGGTGCAGGACTGAGCTAATACTCCTATCATATATGCCTTACCATTCCAAGTCATTATCGACCATCTCCGTGGTCTAGTGGTAGAGCGTCTGCCTGGAGAGCAGAAGGTCCGGGGTTCGATCCCTGGCCGCATCATACCAAAAGATGGTACTTGTTGTTACCCTGTCTGGCGCTCGGCAGTAAGGGGCTAAAACAAGGACTGGTTGGCTCAGAGTCAGTATACTGTGTCTGAGTGGGGTATTCATGTTAAACTGCGACATGGTATCTCAGTGGGCTAGCACTATAAATCGGCATCAGTCCGGACAAGTACAAGCACACATACACACACACACACGTACATGCACGTCACTATATAAGTGCAATAATCTTGGACTCGACGTTAAACCCAATTTCACCTCACCTCACCAAGTCATTTTGTCTCCATTCCATGCTGCTCTACTTTTGATAAGGATACAAGACTGATTGTCATACTATAATATCCCTATCATAGTTGAGAAGTATATTATGACAAATACTCATTAGCCATCGAGTGGCATGAAACTTGCTCATTATTTTTCATGGTCACTGGGATGGGTGACTCGGGTACTCGTGTCGGGTGGGTCCTGAGTAGGACCCGGGTACCCACAGGACTACCCGGACCCATGGTTACTCACGTGATGTATTGTTTAATGACAAAAACTTACTATAGCTCTGTGGTTACACTACAAGTCGCTAATGTTTTCAACATTCTTTCTGATGATGAACACATTCCTTTTGACTTGTATATGTTTGAGTAAAGATAAATCTTCAGTCAACTTCAGTGAACGCATGATCTAATTAGTTTTAGCCAGGGCTGCAGTAAAACAATTACCAATGACACATTTTGTTACCAACTCTTGAGTTGGTTGGTTGGTTGGTTTGTTGTTTTACGCTGCACTCAGCAATGATCCAGCTATATGACGGCAGTCTGTAAATAATCGAGTCTGATCCACGCTTGAGACTTGCAGTGGGTACCCGGGTAGTACGATCTCCCTGCCATGACACTAGGGATGGGTCGTGTGGGTAGTGGGTAGTGGTAGTGGGTACTGGGTACGACTACCAGGACCTGTGGCTATTGTTTAATGAGAATGAGTGAGTTGGGTTAAACACCACTTTTCACATTATTCCAGTTATATCACGGTGTGTCAGCTTAATGTGGGAGGAAAGCCCAAAGTGATGCAGGTCTAAGACGTTCGAAACCCACGAGCACGAGTATGGTGCTGACAAACCTAGAAACATAATCGGGGCGAACAGAGATTCGAACCCACAATCATAGGTTTCTGGCATGCCAAAGGGACGCAACTCTGCACAGCGAAATGCGGCGCCTTTGACCACTGGGCCACCCGTCCCTCCTGAGGGTTTTTGCGGCTTATTTGACCCATTGAAATGCCTGTTTCATTGTAAACCTAAAATTTTGAATATGATTTGTTGATTGTTAATTGATGTGTGATTATACTGATTTCATAATTTAGTTCTCTACATATGAATTTCTGGGTTAACATTTAGGTTTTAGTTTGTTAATCAGCTCATATTACAATATTCACTCATAAACTATGTATATAATGAACATGCTTATAACGAACTGACGGATAAAACGAACTGTTTGTTTGGTCCCGGCAATTTGCTGTATCATATAGAATTGATGGATATAACGTACATGCCGATAACAAAATAACGGAGATAGCGAACTCAGTTTCTGGTCAATGTGTACTCTGTCAATGAAAATGTTTGAGTTTATATTCTGTGTATAAAATGCGATGACTAGAGTGAGGACATTCAGTCTTGATAAACTTACAGTGGCAGACATATCTCGTAAGCGGAAAGCTCATAACATCGTAGGACCAGCATCACTTACTTTTCGGCGGTGAGGTGAGGTGAAATGGGCTTTAACGTCACGTCCAAGATTATTGCACTTATATAGCAACGTGCATGTACGTGTGTGTGTCTGTGTGTGGCTGCTTGTACAAGTCCAGACTGATGCCGATTTAAAGTGCTAGCACACTGAGATACCATGCCACAGTTTAACATGAATACCCCACTCAGACACAGTAAACTTACCTCGAGCCAACCAACCCCTGTTTTAGCCCCTTAATGCTGAGCGCCAGACAGGGTAACAACAAGTGCCATCTTTTAACGTCTTTTGGTATGACGCGGCCGGGGATCGAACCCCGGACCTTCCATTCTTTGGACGGACGCTCTACTATTAGACCACGGAGGCGGTCACAAGCAGAGCCATGGGTGGGCAGGGAGAGATGAGGGGTGGGCAGGGAGAGATGAGGGGTGGGAAGGGAGAGATGAGGGGTGGGCAGGGAGAGATGAGGGGTGGGCAGGGAGAGATGAGGGGTGGGCAGGGAGAGATGAGGGCTGGGAAGGGAGAGATGAGGGGTGTGCAGGGAGAGATGAGGGGTGGGCAGGGAGAGATGAGGGCTGGGAAGGGAGAGATGAGGGCTGGGAAGGGAGAGATGAGGGGTGGGCAGGGAGAGATGAGGGCTGGGAAGGGAGAGATGAGGGGTCGGCAGATGGAGATGAGGGGTGGGCAGGGAGAGATGAGGGGTGGGCAGGGAGAGATGAGGGCTGGGAAGGGAGAGATGAGGGGTCGGCAGATGGAGATGAGGGGTGGGCAGGGAGAGATGAGGGGTGGGCAGGGAGAGATGAGGGCTGGGAAGGGAGAGATGAGGGGTCGGCAGATGGAGATGAGGGCTGGGCAGGGAGAGATGAGGGGTGGGCAGGGAGAGATGAGGGGTGGGCAGGGAGAGATGAGGGGTGGGCAGGGAGAGATGAGGGGTGGGCAGGGAGAGATGAGGGGTGGGCAGGGAGAGATGAGGGCTGGGAAGGGAGAGATGAGGGGTCGGCAGATGGAGATGAGGGCTGGGCAGGGAGAGATGAGGGGTGGGCAGGGAGAGATGAGGGGTGGGCAGGGAGAGATGAAGGCTGGGCAGAGAGAGATGGGGGGTGGGTGGATGAAGAAGGACCAGCATCACTTACTTTGCGGTGGTGAGGATGAAGAAGGACCAGCATCACTTACTTTTCGTGCACCTTGAGGACTCTGTGTACGATGGGGATGTCTCGGCCCTCCACCTTGAACACCACGATCTCCCCCACACGGATGGGCTCCTCCTTGTAGTTGGTGAGGAACAGCAGGTCACCACGAGCCAGGAATGATGGGTACAAGTCCCCGCTGCAGAAAATATAAACATCACGCTCAATTTCATTGTTCTATAAATCATGACAGTTTTATCTATTATTCATGTTGATATAGACAAACACACATCGCTTTGTACCATAAAATGTCTAAGTCCCATGATAGAATTTGAGTGAGTTGTGTCTAACGCCTCTTTCAACATTATTACAGTTGTCAGCTTAATGTGGGAGGAAAGCCCGAAGTGTTGCAGGTGTCAGACGTTTACCACTTCGGTGAAACCCACGAGCACGGGTATGGTGCTGACAAACCTAGAAACATAATCGGGGCGAACCGGGATTCAAATCCACAATCATAGGTTTCTGGCGTGTCCAAGGGATGCAAACTCGTCCCACTATCGATAAATGTTATGTGCGAAAATACGACAAACCAATCAAAATGAGCGTGTGACATCAAGTACTTCTATCAAAGAATCCCTCAGGAATAATGTTTGATTTTACATATGTCTTGCATCTAAACATATACCCATCATACAGTTAAATGTCTTCAATCATACTGTATAATACCTTAAGTCCCGATGTGTCTTAAATAGCATCTGGAATATATATGACATGGGAAATATACGTGAATCATTACGCAACGAGTTGACAATTCTTTCAGTTATGCCCGTTTGCGCTTAGACAGAACACAGTCGCAAAAAATGGCCATGAGAGGGGCATGAGTCGCTATTCGGCTTGTCCTGGAATAACACGAGTTGGTCATGAATGGCAACTCTGCACAGAGATGATTGGGCCACCCGTGCCCCCTGATGGAATTTGAAAAAAATGATCCGAGGTTGGATGTTTTGCCCACATAACCAAAGACTGGGTGAGGATGTCATCTGCGGGATGACTCCATGCCTACACATTGACATCATAAATGGTGCAAATTGGCACACCTGAACATCTTTATCAGTGCCACGTTGCACACTTAAATCCCACCTTTATTAATCACATTTGGAACTGATGGATTAAGTTTTCCAATACAGAAATCTGATATGCTGGCCTGAATACCGAGAATGAAGAATGGTAATTGCCAGATCAGAAAGTCAACCTGAGAGGGTGCTGTAATAGGCTATAAGTTGGTACAAACCTGGCAACGATGAGGATGGGAGTGTCGCAGTCAGTCCACACCATCAGCCCTTTCCACAACATCACTGGCGTCAACATCAACAGCAGCAACTTCAACACTCGATAGTACACCTGCAGTAGAAGTCAGCTTGTATCGGAGTGGGTGAATGAATTTGTCTTTGGGCTGAGTGCAACAGCATTCAAGTAATATCAGTGTCAGCATGAAGAGATGTTGGACTTTGACATTTACCATTTTTGTTTGTTTGTTTGTTGTTTAACGCTGCGCTCAGCAATATTCCAGGTATACGACTGCGGTCTGTGAATAATCGAGTCTCAACCACACATTCCAGTGATTGATTTCATAAGCACTGATCCACACAATTGGGATACGATGACATGCATCAACCAAGTCAGCAAGCATGACAACCCAATTCCATTAGTCGCTTTCTGAAGACAAGCAGTCGCCTTTATGGCAAACATGGGTTACTGAAGACCTATTGTACCCCGATTTTAACAGGTGACACATGAAGGGGTATCGTTCTGACTGGGGATGTCACAATACAGCTGTCTCACGATACAATTCATATCTCCATTCAGAAGATATGATACATATCTTGTAGGGCTGGGACGGGTAACTCGGGTACCCGGGTCGGGTGGGTACTGAGTAGCACCCGGGTACCAACAGGACTACCCGGACCCGAGGTTAGTCACGTGATATATTGTTTATTGACAAAAAATATCTAAAACTCTATGGTTACACTACAAGTCACTGTTGTTCGCATTTCTTTCTGACTATGCACCCATTCCTTCTGACCTTTATAGGTTTGAATAAGGATAAACTTCAGAGTATGCATGACCAGATCGTTTTAACTATTCCCAATCGGACTTTTTACACCCAGCTCTTGAGACCTACAGCGGGTACCCGGGTAGGGTCGGGTAGTAGCGTGGTGGGTACCCAGGTAGTAAATTTGGACTCATCCCAACCCTTGTAGTGAGTGAGTGAGTATGGTTTTACGCCGCTTTTAGCAATATTCCAGCAATATCACAGCGGGGGACACCAGAAATGGGCTTCACACATTGTACCCATGTCGGGAATCGAACCTGGGTCTTCGGCGTGACGAGCCAACGCTTTAACCACTAGGCTACCCGACCGCCCCCCAAGCCCTTGTAACTTGATAATGCATATACAAAATTTTCGTGGAAAACCCAGACATTAGACTGAGAATGGAGTCCATAGTCAAAAAGGTTAAGAAGCACAACTGACTAATACCTATCAACATGACACTGAGTCAACTATTCTGTATCAGAACACAATAAGAAACAAACATGTAGGCAGCAAGGAAAAGCCAGATAACTTGAAAACAGTCTGGGAACATAAGTCTATCTAGGTTCCTGTTGTGCCAAAGGGAGGCAACTCTGAACTAATAACGACGGTGAAATACAGTCAAGTCTCCCACTTCGACTCCAACACACCTAATTTGCAACGAATTACCAAAATCACTCATTTATCAGTCTCGTTAATCCGACACAGTGATCAACATATGTCATCTGTCCTCGAGAACACAGCCAGTGTTTTGATGCGAGACGAGTCTTAAGCTTTGCGGTACCAGTTTCAAACATGAGACTTCCATTCCAGACTATGTTTTTTAAAGTATTTTGAGTAAGTCATACAGTTCGTAACAGTTATTTTGTGTTGAGCTTTAGAGGTTGATTAGAAAACATATTCCGCAAACAATGTAACATAACAATATGAATATTTCATTTTTATTTTTTTTATTAAGTGTTTGTATCATTATCTATCGTGTAGTTGTCAGATTTTCGATCACGAACGCTGATACTACTTAATTTTGTTTATCCAACATACTTGTTAATCCAACATAATATTATGTAACCAGCCATGTCGGATTAACAGGACTTGTCTGTAGATAACTGGGCCACCTGTGCCTCCACGAAATATTAATGAGATACGAATGACGTGTATGTATTGGAAATACTGTCAAACTGGAAAGTTATTATCCATTAAGCTATTGCGAGTGGGTAACAATATTCTCAAATGCATATGGAAAGTTTTGCCACACCATAGTAATCAGATTAATAAAGATTAAAGTTGCTTTTGCATGTGTTATTTTTCATGAGCAGGAAGCAGCAGATGTTACTGTTTCAGTCAGTGTTTTTTGTAAACTACAGATGGATGTGTTGTTGTAGTTGACACAATCTCATTAAAATCAGATCTTAGATCGCTATCGCTAAACAAAGCTTAGTGGCAGCGAGAACTGAGATTTGATTTTAATGAGATTGTAGTTGAAAAGGAAGGTTGGAGTAGCAGTTTTATCTAACAGTAGTTTCATAAGGCTGCCTAGACTACACAGTGTTTAGTAAGGAAATTGTGTGGCAGATCAGTGAATTCACCTGAATAGACTATTGACACTGAGTGACAATGGGGAATAAGGAAACAGGATGTGAGGTGAGGTATTATTTTCGAATCATGTCCTGGGTGGATTGGGGAAGTGAATAAACAAATATGTTTCCTTATGTTTTTTCCTTGTTGGTCTGCAAAAATATCTGTGTCATGCAGTGAGGTGAGGTGAAATGGGGTTTAACGTCACGGCCAAGATTATTGCTCTTATAGAGTGACGTGCATGTGTGTGTTTGTGTGGCTGCTTGTACTAGCCTGGACTGATACCGATTTATAGTGCTAGCTCACTGAGATACCATGCCGCAGTTTAACATGAATACCCCACTCAGACACAGTATACTGACTCCGAGCCGACCAGTCCTTGTTTTAGCCCCTTAATGCTGAGCGCCAGCAGGGTAACAACAAGTACCATCTTTTAACGTCTTTTGGTATGACGCGGCCGGGGATCGAACCCAGGACCTTCCTCTCTCCAGGTGGACACTCTACCACTAGACCACGGAGGCAGTCATCTGTGTCATGAAGCTATAGAGAGTGTCTTTTGCTTACTGTTTTCGCAGTTCTTTCCTGCTTGCAAAAATTGCCAGATTTACAGTATTAGAAACAGCAGCTTCATTCATGATAGGGTTTAAAGACTACAAACAGGACCGAGAGTCAAGAGTAGTTGGATATTGCTTCTTGTTTAACGCCGCACTGAGCAATATTCCAGCTATATGATGTGGTCTGTAAATAATCGAGTCTCGACCAGACAATCCAGTGATTAATATCATGAGCATCGATCCACGCAATTGGGATCGATGACATGCATCAACCAAGTCAGCGAGCCTGACCACCTGATTCTGTTAGTTGCCTTTTACGACAAGCATAGTCGCCTTTTACGGCAAGCATGGGTTGCTGAAGACCTATTCTACCCATATATCTGTATATGTGAATAATGTTTGATAAAATTGAGCATTATATTACTATAATTTCACTGTCTTTACTGACAGTGATGCAGTGAATACAAATTTCATTGATTCGATGTTGTGTATGGGCCACCAGTAACCTATGCTTGCAATAGTGATCAATGATCAAAATATCAATCACTGGATTGACTGATCCAGACTCAACTATTAACAGATCACCTTCTTATTGCTGGAAAATGCTGAGAGTTGTGTATGGTTTAATAACATGTTATATATGGCAGCAGAAAAGCCTCTTTTAAATTACTGTGTGATAATCGAGGTGAATCCAGTTTTCTGATCCTGGCAAGGCTAAGGGACGCAACTCTGCACAGTGAATTGTGGTGCTTCAGTCAGAGGGGCCAGTATTTGCCCCTTGCGCGAAAGAGATGTGAAATATGCTGTGTCTGCAGAGTTGCATCCCTTACATGTAACAGGAACCTATCATCATGTGTTCATAAAGTGAGGCTGTGATAATATAATTCTTACCTCTCGGACTCTCATGATGTGCAGTGGACTGACAACGTTCTTCATTGCATCTTCTTCTAATCTTCATCCATCAGTGGTTGATGAAGGGAAACAGAAGGTTAATGAGTCATCTGAAAAAACAGAGATGAATTCAGACACACAAAGATTAGGGGTGGGCAGGGAGCACTAGGCTCTTTGGTCTACCAGGTTGTCTAAATCAAACGAGGGGGCACGGGTGGCCTAGTCGTCTAAGGCACTGCGATTCGCTGTGCAGAGTTGCGTCCTTTGGGCACGCCAGAGACCTATGATTGTGGGTTCGAATCCCGGTTCGCCCTGATTATGTTTCTAGTCATGTAAGCGCCATACCCCTGCTCGTGGGTTTCACTGAAGTGGTAAATGTCTGAGACCTGCATCACTTGGGCTTTCCTCCCACATTAAGCTGACACGCCGTGATGTGACTGGAATATTGTTAAAAGCGGCGTTAAACCCAACTCACTCACTCACTTCGTAATCTCTTTGATGACTTGTTCTAAATCTTAGCTGAGGTCAGAGACTTAGTAAATAGTCTTCAGTGCTTAATGGTCCAAAATGTCATAGTTGTGGTTTGTTGTTTAAAGCCGCACTCAGCAATATTCCAGCTATATGACGGCGGTCTGTAAATAAACGAGTCTGGACCACACAATCCAGTGATTGACATCATGAACATCGATTGGGATACGATGACATGCATCAACCAAGTCATCGAGCCACGCAATTGGGATCAACGACATCCATCAACTTGCTCACAGAAATTCCATCATGGGACTTAGAGATTTTATGGTACAGAGTGATGTGTGTTTGTCTATATCAACATGATTAATAGATAAAATTGTCATGATTTATAGAACACAGATATTGAGCGTGATGTTTATATTTTCTGCAGCGGTGACTTGTACCCATCATTCCTGGCTAGAGGTGAACTCACTCACTCTAAATCAACCAATGTACATGTCAAATATCTCATTACACCAAGACGAGTTAATCCTAAGTTTGTCACTACAACTGACGTCATGACAGATGACTAAACCTGCAAAATGGAGCCCTCATTTGAACCTAAGTCCAACTTGTTAACGCATCGCTGTCTCTGAGGGTGTATGGGAAATATAGACGTCAGGGGTCTCCAATTCGTATTTCTGGTGTCTGGGGCAATTATTCAATCTAAGATTGGCTTTTATTACCTACGAGGGCAAACACCGGGGTGCAAAAAAATCATATGTGCCCTAGAGTCATATCACGTCCCGAGACAACAGTGTATTGTTTCCGTCATCCGGACGACACTGCTGACGTCATTCAAATCTTATTGTGACATGAGGTCATGCTAGAAACGACGTCATAGCTGAAGATTGTTGACCTCATTCGACAAATCCGTATCAGATGTAAAGAAGCTATAACTGTTAACCGAATTTGTAGGATGTGAAATACTAATAGCATGTTGAAGATGAACTCCATTTCATATTTGTTTGCGAGGCATATGTATCTTTGAGAAATAAGTACATACCAGAGTGGCATGGGCTAAAGCTAAAACAGCACCTCAGCAAAACGTCACCTGGCGAAAACGACACCCATTAGTGAAAATGTCACCTCGCCTCAAGCGAAAACGGCTACTATTGCCTGGCGAAAACGGCACCCTGACCCTATAATTAAACTTACATGGTCGCTTCCAAACACCAATAATTGTGAAATGTTAAAACAAGTTTACATTAGAAATTAGCCTCTACTCCAACTATATTCCAACTAAGCCTATACGCAAATCAACTTATTGTGAAAACATAACATGCATTGAAGTAAAGTAAATGAAATTAAACTCACATCGTCTCTTACAAACACAAATAATTGTGAAATGTTAAACAAGTTTACAAGTTTAGCCCCCTACTTCAATTTATTCCCCGACTCTGATGGCCTTTCGATGTTTGGTTGCGAGAAGAATGTCAGAAAAAATTCACATGCTGCATCATGTGACAACTGTTACCAGTGGACCCATCGTGTATGTGGTACCAGACTTTCTGTGGCCCGTTATCAAGAAATTAGCTGAGGCAGCTACTATCACAACGTTCGGTGGTATTAGAACCGATATTATAAACACATGATGAAGATATAATACTACATTAATTGTTCTTATCGATATTAAAATAGAGGTGCCTTTTTCGCCCGACACATAACTAGTAGCCATTTTCGCCAGAGAAATTGTTGACGTTTTGCTGAGGTACCAATTTAGCCGGCACACGAGAGGCATATTTCATCAAATATTTTAAATTTCATAAATTACTGACTTCTAGTGATGTGTCAATGGTTAACAAATGTGCTGAGTTTGTTATAGAAGTGCTGAAACGTAAATATTCACTTGATAGGAAGTATAATTGCCTAATTGCGACATATGATATTGTTGTATCAACTCTGTACATTGGCCGATAGCCTACAAAACAGAAATATACTTACTATATTTCTTGAGACAGTTTGTTACACTGACAGTATGACAGTATGGTCGTAGGTTTCACGTGCATCGGGTAGGGCTTTCCTCGCACATTAATCTGAGACGCCGTCATATAACTCGAATACTTTACTGTATTCTAAAGGTAGGCCTCCAAAGTGGATTTAAACAAAATTCTCTCACATAGCAATTATCAAAACTAGACACTGGATCAAGCATTGTTGTGATGACATTTCGAGAACAGCTGATGTACACGTGACCTGTTTAGAGTTATCTGCCCATGAGTGACAACTCTCCAAGCTCCCGACAGCGATAGCCTTTCTAAGCTGGGACCCCTCTCTTTACATAAATTTACGCAAGCACACCAGTCTATTCGGGAAGTTTGTGACACAAGCTCCAGTAGTATAGGTAATGGGGGTTCTGGCTCACTTCAACTGGAGCCAGATTTATATACCTATACTGCTAGTACAGGGGGAATTTTTTTATGCAAAAATGATGATGCGGTTCAACGATAGTCATGAGATTAAACTAAATTGTAATGAAAATATTCTCTATTATTTTTAGTATAACGTATACCATTATTTTTAACTAAGTGATATTCAACTTTTTTACTAAGTTCTTCGTTCATTTTACAAGGAGACCAGGGCCTAGATTTTCGAAACGATCTTAGCTAAGATAAATCTTAACAACTTACGTTCAAAGATAAGATATCTTAAGGTTAAGATAAGATAGATTTTCGAAACTATCGTAAACCTGTCGCAGATCTTTCAGAGTTACGATACCTATCGTAACTCTGCCAAGGAACTCATTTGTGTGAGAGACTGAAAAAGCGGGGTGTTTCCCAGTGACGTCACGGGGATTTCCCAGCTGCTGACAATAACAACAACATAGATAAGTGACACGGAATTCATGATCACATTGTCAGGTCACATTGTTTAACATGCACATATTTGAGAGAAATTCTGTACAATCCTACACATGTCCCACATGTAGACGTTTTGTTCATATGATAAAAGATGCCATGACTACCGGAACACAAATAACGTTCGTGTGCCATGCAATAGCATTTTTCAAAACCAATAAATGTTGTAATCAATAAGTGTAGTGTTACCGCACTTTAGCTACTAGAATTGAAATAACGTGCCAAAAGATACTTCACTATTTTCCCTTCAAATGGTCCTCTCGTGAGCGCGCAGAACTGTATGATATAAACACATCGCGTACAAAGTCAAGGACGAAAGTAAGGGACGTTATTCTAAATGACAATGACGAGACCTTTGACCGAACAGCATATGCGTTCAGCATTTAACATGCGTGTTCAAGTCTGATGTAAGGTGATGTATAAGGTATATTTTTGTGTTTATGTCAAAAGTCAAGTTTATTTTAGTGTGAACACCAACATTAAACGTGGAAACACTCAAAACAAAAATTGTTCAGGAAGCAGCGCACCCACAAGCAAGTTTTTACGACAATCTAAGCTTGTTAAGTTTTGTTTCTTTTATCTATCTAGATCAATAATTCTTTTCAAAATTTAAAAGTTACGCTAATTTTCGTTCGCAAAGAGTCAAGTTATATTGTCTCATGGAACACGCCACAAGCTAACGTGAACACACATATAATGTCATTTTCTATCCTTTTAAATTACGTAGAGCTAATAAACTGGTTTGTCTGATTTAAATCTGGCTGAGGAGCGAAATACTTTGTAATGTGTCAAATCTATTCCAGAACGTAGTTCAATGATGTTTGGCTTGTCTGACAGAATTGCTGAGAATAATTTACTAGTAGTTATCCGTTGACCCTATACGTTTACGATGGTATTGTCTGAATGGTCTCAAGTATATCAATATCTTATTTTAAACATAAAACGGGATGATGTAGACTGAAATATTAAAAAGACCAAACTATTTTAAAAGCGGTTTATTGAATGCAAAGATTATTGTGTTGAAAATGTGTAATTTATATTGATCAGTCAATTTCATTCAAAAAACATTTTTTCTACGAACATATGTAGGAAAGTGAATTTTGGACAATGTGCAAACTATGCTACATTTTGACGAGAACCCGAACGAGCATGGGAACCCATTTTTATTTGATTTGTCGATACGAAAATCTGTGCTTAACTTTTGCTGTCACAATTTCAGTAAATTGTTATATTTAATGGAATACATCTATATGCCGTTAATCACCTGTTTTTAAAGAATGCAAATGTTCAACAGACAGTTTTTAATCACTTTTTATCAAATATTGTCTTTCAATAGGATATAGATAACATAGGTATTGAATTTAAAACGAAACAAATTACAATTACTTTTGCAAGAAAAATATTAGATATTGTATACAAATATTTGATCACATGTATTTCCCTGTTAAGTCAATAAATACTACACTGTATAGTTAAAATTCAAGTATTAAAACCATCCGTCCCACACGATTTTAGATGTTAAAACTTATGCGAAACCTTTATGGTTTTTTTTACATATGTAGATTGATATAATTTTATAAAATGCGAAAATAAAGACTAAAGCATTGACACAAATGCGATCCAGAAAATATAACAGCGGAACTCTGCGCTTTGTGAAAACTGTAACATTTAGCAAGGTGTCCCGGGGGGATGGGGGATACAAAGGGAAACCACTCTCAACTAGAGTTTGAACTGAGATTAGCTCCCCCTGAGTTATCAATAAGGTCACGGTCATTACTGTAGCCTACCGACACCTTCCGTTTTTATCCTTCCCAAATTATCGAAAAGGTATGTAGTTTCACACTCCTTCAGCATGGACTCGGATAGAAATATGTTGTAAGTTATCGACTCCACCGTTATGTGGATCGCTGTCGCGAGACGTGAAATCCTTGATGCGTTCTTCGTGTTTTCGAAGTGTCAATTTGAATCACACAGTTCTACAAAATGAAATGTCAATGTTTGGACGTAAAGCAGACTCATTGTTTGTCAAAATATATATGGCAAAGTATGCCGCCATCTTGGATGAAGATAAAATAACCTTACGCCAGGTATGTGGCTATCTTAGATTTAACACAAACTTAAGATATCTTAGGGCTACGATAGTTTCGAATATATGCTACGATAGCCTACGTTTTTCTTACGATAAATTTACGATAATTTTAGGGCTACGATCGTTTCGAAAATCTAGGCCCAGACTATAATATTATACTCTTCTTGGTAATTGGAAAGAAACAATTGATGACCGTATTTGGTTGGTTTGACATCACTGATATAATATACCTTGTGGTAATTCTCTCCATTTGATAATTTTGTCCCTGAGCAGAAATATTTCGATAGCTTTTTCGAGGTCTTCCTTTGTTGGTTCGTAATTCTCCATTATTATATATTTATGAAACATTGCTGTAGCTATGGCCAGCTTGGCCTATCAACAAGACAATAGACTGGGCTGGGGCGCGCTGGGGCAAAGAGTGCTGTAAGTCAAAAGCATGCAGTGTGACAATTAGTGGAAGTTAGACTGAGAGTAAGCTTACTTAATGTTACAGAGCTATGGAATGAATGTTTAAGGTATAAAATACTAAGGTATAAAACAAAACTAATATTATAACTGATAATATATTCTTATAATGTAAAAATCGTAATAAACTAGTCAGTTAAAATGGTAACAAGGCCATATAACCTTAGAAAATAACTAATAAATCTTAGCTAAAAGTTATGTACATAAGGACTTGAGCCTGCCACATGTACTCGTTGATTGTATTTGTAGTATGTACTCATAGATTGTATTCGTTGTATGTTTTATTCAACAACTCACTATTAAAGCGGGCTATAGATCACCGGCAACCAAACGATACTCCTGCTTCCTGCGCGGTTCCCCAGCAGGATTTACACCATCCCTTAGCTGCTGTCGATAGTACGTAAATATGCTAAGATTAAAACAATGCCAGGAACAAAATACTTTGTATGATGTGGTCTAACATACCCTCTGAGCGGGACAATAATTTCACACTGCTTTAACTCCCTTTGAGGATACAGTCACTAACCATCAAAGTCATAAATTGATCAGTACAAATATCATGAAATTTAACTATGTGAACATATTCAAAATTTATCAATTCAAGACAGTCAAGCAGGACACGTTTGGGTGTGATTTTCTAATCGCTAGGGACACAGACAGAGGATCCTCGCCTTTCTATAAATAGTCACGAGTTTAGAGTGAATTGCCAATACAACATCGTCGCATAAAGACCTTTTAAATCTGGATTGACAACTTAAGTAGGTGTAAACAATAGTTCGCTGGGGTCCATGGGGACTTACAGTGCCTTTGTTTCCTGCATGGACCCCGGCAGGATTTATATCATTCCTTCAGTCACTGGCGATAGTTTGCCAGTCATCGCCTCTGTACTCCATCCCACACCCAGACCTGTGAACCTTAAACCCGAATCAGCGCCCTTCCGCATCGCCCTCCCGTTCAAAGGAAACGCCTCCCACATCATCAGCCGCCTCCTCAAACAGCAAGCCAACATCGACACCCACTTCACCAGCTCCAACTCCCTCAACACCCTGCTAAGAGCCAACGGCAGGAACACATCTAAACCCCAAGAGCCTAAAGGTGTAGTCTACAAAATTGACTGCAACTGTGGACAATCTTACGTAGGTGAAACATCCCGCCCAATCAACACCAGAATGAAAGAGCATAAAACCTCCACCATCAAATCCGACAGCAAATCAGCCATCTCGGACCATATCAGCAACTGTCCCAATCACATCATCAACTGGGACAACGTCCAAATCCTCGCCAGCAACCTCCATGATTTCACTAAAAGAAAACTAACAGAAACAGTCCACATTCGCCGCCACAAGCCATCAATCAACAGAGATCAAGGCTATTTCATCCCACCCGCCTACTATGAACTCGTCAAACAATAATCACTTATCCTGTTTATTGGCTTCATGACCCTATAGGCTTCCAGCTATGTGTTTTCTGTCCATCGTGTTGTGACAGCACCATCCCTTTGTTGTCACACCTACCAATGTTATCCCACTCATGTATGCAATTGTTGTTACTGTTAATCCTCTACTGTTAATCAACCTCTACTGTTAATCATCCACCTACTATATATACTCTGCACTATGTCCCTAATTCAGAAAAAAAAATCGACAGAGTAATCACTAAACTCCAAACAGGACACACCAACCTAAATAACCACCTAAAAAAAAATAAAAAACACACTACAGGTAACTGCCCACACTGCAAACAACCAGAAACCCCAGAACACGCACTCATCCACTGCACACACTACCTAACACATCGAACCGCATTACAAACCACC